AAAGATGCCTTTCACTGCTCTTTCATACAAATTGTATTAAATTTTTGTACAATTGGTTGAGGAACCAAGGTATTGTTTCTTTTTGCTACTTCAGGTTGAAAATCGATTCCTTATTTATCAAAATCATATAATAAAACGGTTGAAAGTCAATTCCAAATTAATCAAGATCATACTCCGTAATAAAACTACATTGTTAGCTCAACTTAGGGTTTCATGCTCAAAGGGTTGCTCCTTTTTTATAAGCATTATATTATATCGTTATGATGTTGGACTGGAAATCTAGGGAACTTTGTGGCAGATAAACATCTGGGAAACAAAACAAAAATCGTGTCTTTTACAGATTAAGTTGTGATCCCATGTACGAACACATAAGGTTGCCAGGAAATTTTCTACATGGAGGAGATTGATGTGTTTGAAAATTGCAGTGTAATGAAACCCAGAAAGAAGCATTCCCCTTTGATATGCAGTAAGGGTACTCATCTATACTATTGACATTTAAATTTATTGGTTGGAAGTCAATTAAAAGCTTGTTTATAATCTTATATGCGTAATCGTGTTGTTGCCATTAGTGTTTCATTCCTTACGTATTTCAAGTTCTATTGTCGGGTCAGACTATTAATTCCATTGGATTCAATTGGAATGAATTCTGCTGCACTGGACTGATTTCGTACAATGTGGGGATGGCTTAATAACACTCATAGTTGGTTGATCGCGCGAATAAAGAGTCTTGTTCTTGCTGCTTCAGATTTGGGAGAATTTGGGGGACGCTATATTTCAGAAATGTTCTTGCCCTCATGTCTTGCTCGGTTAGGGGGGTTTTTTCTTCGGTGTAGGTTGTAAATAACCTACACCGGTGTATCCTATGACTTGGACCTCTCATATTACTCCATGTGTACTCATTAAACATGTCACTCTTATACTTTATAGGATGACATTTGCATTTAAATTCAGGGGCATCTTAGCAATTAGTTTGTTTTTCACTTTACCTTAATTTTTTCTTTTATGTCAACTCAGCTTTCATTCATTTTCTCTTTCTTCTTTTCTCTTTCATTTTTCTGCAACATCCATTGGTCTGCTGGTTCTTTTTCCTGAGCTACATCCTGGAGGCAAGATCTGGAGATGGGATTAAATCCTATTTTATGGCTTAGTTGGTTAGTGTTCTTCCTGATTTTTAGAGTAGAGGAGTAGTGCCCTTTTAGCTAGCTATTATTTCCCTTTATTTAAATCGCAGCAGGCTTTGGTCTTTGAATTATGTATGTGGAGTCCTCTTTATTGAAAGTGTTGTTCTTCACTTTTATAAGCACCGGGCAGTTTCATTCTTGCCCTGAAAGTGTTTGTTTTATTTCAGCGGACAACAAGCTTAAGTCCATGGCACACGGGTGGAAGGGATGGCTCCGACCGGTTGCTCCAGCTCCGATCTCCGATCTGGAAGATCCGGATATGAAATTTCAGGAGTCTTCATTCACCTTTTTTAGCTTTTCCATCCATAACAATTTTTGTGGATTTTGTGTAAATGAGATGAATTGTTTGATATTTTGGGAGGAAAAAGAAAGTTCAAATCCTCATCTTCTTTGATCTCTCTGTTTACTTAAAAAAAAACATGAACAATGATGAAGACTTGCATAGTAAAATCACATAATAATTGTTCTTGAGATTTCTCTTTTTCCTTATTTCTTTTCTTAAAATTCGGAGTTTAATTTTTATTGTTGTTATTTCATACCTATTTTGTAAAATCAATAACTCAAAGATATATAATAAAGAAAAAGTAACCATGAAATCTTAATTTTACCTCTTGAATTTATTTAGGAGAAATTTTTGTTTTTAAAAACATTTAACATTTCACAATTAAAATTTTAATTTTTTAAATTTTTATATGTGGTTGAATGGGTAGAATGTGTACAAGGTTGAATGAGTTAAAGTAGAAGGTTGAAAGTGTAGAATGTGTAAAGGGTTGAATGGGTAGAATGTGTAGAGGATTGAATGAGTAAAATGTGTAGAGGATTGAATGGGTAGAATGTGTAGAAGGTTGAATGAGTATAGTGTGTAGGGGTTGAATGGATAGTAGTGGAGAGTAGAATGGAGGTAGAGACTTGTATTTGATGTTTAACAAATTAAAGTTCTACATATACAACTCATTTGTTGTCACATTAATTTCATAATGAGACATTAATCTTAACACATGAATTTATTTAGAAAAAGTTTTGGGTCTAAGAACCTCGTACAATTGAAAGTTCAAATGTTCTTAAAACTTTATATATGAAAGAAAATAAAAAATTATGAATTTTGATATGTTGTTTGTAAAAAATTGGACTTCAAATGAAAAAAAAAAGTTATACTAATTTGACCCGCTCTTTTCTTTAATTTTGGGCGCATCATGTTTCTGTCACTCCACCCAGTGGGCTGCTCCGTTGCTATCTCATCAAAACGGGGAAACTGCTCGTCATAACGTATTCTATTATACTCACACACTTGGTGTTAAATTGTGTATAACATTTTATAATTGTAATACAAATAATACGTACAATAATACACCATAGTGCCTAATTCCTAGCCGACCATGACTAACCATTGAAAAAAAAACTAAAAACTAGAGTGCAAGAAGAGTAAAAAGGAAAGACCATAAGAAGCTTAAAATAGAAGAACGGATTAGGTGCAGAGGTAAAATTCGAATTGCATCTGCCATCATGTGCTCGCGGCACAAGGTTAGGGAAATATTTATCTGCCTCATATTACTTTGATTGACCTATCAGTATGTTGTATTTCTCATCAATTTGTATCTTGTTGAACATACATGTTTTAATTATCAGCACCCCTCTGCTCATTAGCTCATAGGACAGCAGCCTGCTGCTCAACCCTACTACTTGGAGTCTTTGGTTGACTATCCTGCTTTGCCAGGCCCATCTTTTCGTTCCTTTCATGTAGCATGTTGTTGTCACTCCCACCAAGAGGCTGCTGCTTGTCAAAATGGAGGAAACTGTGACGTGGAACCAATGGAAAAAAGAAAATATATCAGAATATATGTTAAAATGATGTAATTTTTAAGTTTGGATTTCAATTTTTTAGAAAATACATCAGAATTCATATTTTTTTTATAATCTTCAATATGACATAATATTGCATATATAAAGTTTAAAAAACTTTAAAGTTATAATTTTTAAAAGTTTTTAGATCCATATTTTTGGTGATTTTCTACCCAATCTACACCCTCATAATCCAAAAGTAGTAGCCTGCTGTTGTACAATTGGAAGAGTATTGGTGTAGAATGAGTAGAATATATATTGTGTACAATAGAAGTATAGAACATAATGGGGTGAAGACAATAATCATATGATTCGAAAGTGTTATTTATGTTTTAATTACAAATAAAATATAAATTAGAATGAGTAGAATGCGCAAATTCTTATTACCCTAATATTAAAAATAAAACATATTCACTATTTTAAAAAGTAATTAAACTATCAGGATCAATTTTTCATTGTTTACATCGAAATCAATGTTTATTGTGTGTGTGTGTAGATTTAGGATCAAATGAGAACAATGCTTAACGTGAGAATGTGAGAACACCACATTTACCCTAACGTGATGCACAATGAGGCTTACCTAATGCACATTTTCGTGTTCGGCATGATATTTACAAAAATGCCATCATTGTTATTTATATTGGCTTGTTTTGAGCAAAGTCAAAATGTGCACCAGATGCACTATATTGTGTATAACATTGGGTTAATTGTGAGTGTTCTCACGTTCTCACGTTAAGCATCATTCTCATTGAAACCGCACCCTATATATATATTATTCTCAAACACACAAAAAAATCATTGTTCAATTTTTTAACAAGTTACATTATGTACACACCTAAGTTATATTTGTCATCAACGTGAGTTACATTTGTAAAAACATGAGTTACATTAATAGATCAACTCCTCCTATTGAAACAAAAAAATGATCTTATAAAACATTATGTAGTTGGAATTGTGATATATAAAGTGGTTGAAATTTTGGAGTGTAAAAATTAAAACATATTGTATCTTTTCTATCACAGGTAGAATCTAGTGTAGAATGAGTAAAATAAGGTGTCAAGAGGGTAGAATTTCACTAACGTTGCATATAATAAGAAAAAACAATAAGTAATAAGAATAATACGAACAAAACTTCTTAATTCATTATTTATTATAGAATATAATGTGATTCTATAATTGGTCCAACGACCAATGATAATTTCTCTATTAGATCATTTGAAACTCTCTTTTAGAACATTAATATTATTCAGAGTTAGGAATGAGTGTGACATTATTTTAAAAACATGAGTGCCTGAAGAAAAAAGAGTACTTCATACAGTATATTGTTACGGCTCAAAAACAGAACAAATTGGGATGAGGAGAGTAGATTTTCAGATTGGGAACCAGGAAGTAGATTTTTGGAATATACTTCAAAAATAATGTATGATTGAGATACACATAACATTTCTTACAGTTCAAACAGATGGTTTAAGAATCACAATCCTCGTCCATCATTTTTGTCCAATCAGAGAACTTCACTTTTTAACCAATGAAAAACAACAAAGAAAAGAAACGGATGGCAAGGACCTATCCCCAAGGTAAGTCTGCTTTCTGCCAATGCTGTCACCATCCATATATATCCGAAGTTTGTTCACCTCCCAGCATGAGTACATGATCCTCCAATATCCATTATAATCTAACAGCAAAATGAAAGAGGGTATGCTTTTCCCCCTCGGAAATGTCGCTGTCACAAGTCTAGGACTAAAACCTTATTAAATGGAGCTTAATGGAGGTTTAAAAATAGGATGTCTTGATTTTGAGCGGATGGAAAGATAAAATAGCTTGAGATGTGGCCGGAGGTTGTTCAGTTAGTGTTGGGATTTCGTGTGGATCTAATGGCCTGATTTTTCATTGGTCAATTTTTTGAGGTGAGCTGTCGAACAGTGTTTTTGGATATCTCCAGGATTTTCCAGTCACGTAACTTGATTTTCATTGGATCCTTTTTTAGAATAAACAGTGCCTATTAATTGACAAGTGGGCTGATAATGATGTTTATTACTCTGGAAGGATATCTCGAACAAGATCACGCAAGGTTTGAAATTCAAATTTTTGTGAACAGTTTTCCCACCCATTTCATTTACGGTTTCCATTGGTTGGGTGTGTGGTGCAAACAATTCTATGGGGAATGCACATGGTTCTCTAGCTATAAATAGGGCAACATCTGTGTCCCAATCTTCACAACTCAAACCCAGCAAAATACAGAACACACAAGCATTAATTCTTAAACATGGTTGGTATGTGGTCCTTATTCCGGGAGATTGACCAGAGCAAGACAACATGGGCAATCAAAGCAAGGGCGATAAGGGTGTATCGTGAACCTGCCCATGACTGCTTCCCAGAATCATTGGAGGTTGTTTTCCATGATGAAGAGGTTTGGACATTTATAATTCAATATGATCTACTATTATTTATTTATTCGGCTAGGTTCTGTGTTGACGTTTTGGTAAATTTCAGGGGTCCAAGATGCATGCGCACATCCCGGACCAGTTCGTCAACAAGTTCATTGGCATATTTAAGGAGGGATGTGTGTTTGCAGTTAAAAACTTTATGGTTGAGGAGAACTACATGTTCTTTAAAACTTCAACAAGTGCCTATAGGCTCTGTTTTTTCAACAAAAGTGCTGCATTTGAGATCAGGGGAGTACCATTCCCCATAAGGACTTTCTCATTGGTGTCTTTTGCTACATTGCAAGCCCAAGACAACATCGATGAGAAATGTGGCATTGGTAAGCTAATAATTGACCTTTACAAATGCTTATTAAAACTGAATATGACTGCACTAGATCCACTCATATCGTTTATCTATCCAGACCTTATAGGCCAGGTTGTGCACGATAAGGACCCAAAAACAATTTTAAAGAATGACAGGCCCAGAAAGTTGATGGAGATGGTTCTGGGAGACCCGGAGTGAGTTGCTATTCTATTTATTGACATAATGGACACTATGGACTACACGTTAGTGTTTTAGATGTTTTTTGAAATTTATATAAAATAAAATAAAAATTATACGCAGTGGAAATGTGATCGCATGCACCCTCTGGGGACCGATGATTGAGATGCTCTTGACACACAAGCTTACAACATCGGATCCAATTGTTATGCTACTGCAGTGTTGCAAAGTTAGAAAGTACCAAGGTTATCATCACACCCATCCCCTTTTAGGTTACTTTGATTAGAATATCTGACTCAATTAGAGATTTAAATTAGGTCAAGTTCATGTTTCGAACATGTTCAACACTACCAAAGTCATTTTAAACGGGAGTGAGGAAGAATTTGTTGAATTCAAGTCAAGGTATTAGGTTTTTTTTGAATTAGTCATTACTGAATTCAAATGCTAAAAAACAGCTATCCATGTCATTAACTAGAAAAAATAAATCCAGGATGGCTGAAAGGTCCAATAAGGGACTTAGGTTTTCAATAACAATGGACAACTCAAATGATGGGGACATAGCCACTGGGCAGCAAGATTTAATCACTCTTGAGGCTCTTACAAAACTGCAGGAGGCAAGTGTATTCTAATTTTAATTTGAAAGAGGTAAAAACTACAATTTCACTTCATTTTCTATGGGACAAACAGGATGGGAGGCACTGGGTTTACGGAGAAATTGTGGCTATAGACAGCCATAAGGACTGGTCCTATGTTTCTTGCATCGGTTGTAACCGGAAGGTTTCACCTAACGGGGATAGCTTTTGGTGTGTCTCTTGCAGTTCAAATGATGCTGTTCTCAGGTTTTTAATCTACCCATCAAATTGTTTCTTTTTTTTCACTTTTAGAATTGTTAAAAATGATATCTTTAATGTAATCAGATTTAAGGTGAATGTTCGGGTTGTTGATGGCACAACGCATGCCTCCTTCTTGCTTTGGGATAGGGAGGTGTCATGCTTGCTGGGGAAGTCTGCAGCATCACTTAAAGAACAAATATCTAGGGTATGTGTTTATCCTAAGGCTATTTTCTTAGTTTCTTTTATATGGTAAACTAACCTGTAAGCATATGCAGAGGAACTTTGGACCACATTACTTCCCATCTGAGATAAATTCGCTCATTGACATAAAGGCTTTGTTTAAAGTGCAATTCAAAAGAGAAAGCAGGAGTTTTAAGGGAAATCAGACTTTCAGCGTTATAAAGATGAACACTGACCCTAAAGTTCTAGCACTTTACTCATCTAGGATAAATGCTGTTGAGGTATGATTTTTTTTCATTTAGCAAATAGCATAGGCAAGTTCTCTGCTACATTTTTTATGACTTATACTTTCAGGAGGAAGATGAGTTCACTAGACTGGCTAAGGAGTTTTCAGGGCCTGAGAGCGTGGTATTTTCTCTAAATATTTGGTTAAATCCTACCAATAAATCTGGCTACTCAGAAAATCGTGTTTTTTTTCAGGCTGGATCATCACAACCATCTGTGTCCAGCCCACTTCTAACCAAGGAGAAGAGGTACGCTTTAGATGTGGACACTCAGAAGCTGAAATGTAACCTGTTCGGAGAATTTGAGGCTTCGACATCTACAAAGAAGCTCAGAGGGATGAAAAAGGAATGAAGATCATGCGTCAATCTATGTTTACTAGACATGTTGTCTATGTTATGTTACTTATGTGTGGCAGTGTTTATCTGTGTTTCATGTAACGTGTGTATAATAAAGGCAGCTGTGGCTAACTGCTCCCTTGACCCTCTATGGTTTGTTTTGGGCAAATGTCTTTCTGATTGACATGTTTTTAGGCTACGGACTCCGCCATAAGAGAGTACCGATAATATGTAATGGAGACGCATTTCTATATAAAATATTTATTAAGTTAGACCCTTTGACTTTTGAGTTTTTGGTTGTTTGCGTGAGAATTCTATAATCTTACTTTTTGGGCATCTTATGGCAACGACCTAAGGTCCATATGGTTAGTTTGGCAGAACAGGGTTAAAAATTTCAGTCAAACAAATTTATGCATACTCTCAGCTATTGGGTTATACACAGTTTGTGTATCCGACCCATGTATAAAATTCTGCACCACATTACTGCAGTAAAATTTTACACATATAACCAAACATAATTTTTAGTGAATGGGTTATTGTTTAGTATGGTTTGGAAAAGTATGCCTTCTTTGTTTAAATTTATATTTTGCATGGGATGTTTGTGCATATTTGGTTTGTAAATAATGCAACAGGTATTACCGTTAAGATATTGACGAAAGTATATGAAGACGTACCTGTTATCTCTCGGATGACCATGTGTTGCCCTACATCTACCCTAAATCTATTTATTACATTTACAGACCCAGGAATCAAACTAAATTATAAAACAGTAAATAGATGATAGAGGGTTCCTTCAACAGCAAAATTTGGGTAGCATCCACTAAATTCCTGCAAGTCCATAGTTCGAATCTGCATTAGAAATGAACAATGGTTCTATTCAGTGTATGTAAACCTTTGAACAATCATGGTGTGAGGAAAATTTCTGTTTGAGTTCTTCAAAGAATAATAACTCATGTGAGAGGTGCAAGACAGGAAATTGATTTTATCACCCAATGTCCCATACATCACCGCCCTGAATGGCTGCCATATGTAAGGCAATTAGTATCCCCTAGGCAGCTCTTATTATCCCATTTTTAAATTGAAACGGTTGGGGGCCTGGCATAATAGTATTCACACTTGCAGATTACATAACAGTTGTCTATCCCAATACTAAAAATTTTAATAATCATGCTGTGACAAGAAAAGTTGTATTTGAATTCTTCAAATAATAATGTCATGAGAAAGTTTGAGCACAAAATATGTATTTCATCAGCCAATATACCGTATTTCACCCCCTCGAATGCCCGGGATTTGTAAGGCAATTAGTTTAACCTAGCAGCTCCTATTATCGCAATTTTTAGAAATACAAGCATTCTGGCGCAATAATATTCACTATTGCAGAATTCATAATACCTGTCCAACCTAATACTACAAATTTTAATTAACCTGATTTGAAGTAAACAGTTATGTTAGAATTTTTACATAAAAATTAAGTCATGAGAAATGTGCCGCCCAAAAATAACATTTCACCCGACAATATCCAATACATCACCCCCCTGATTGGCTGGCATATATAGGCAATTAGTTTGACCTGGGCAGCTCTTATACTCACATTTTTTTTAATATTTACTACTGCAGACTTAATAATAGGTGTTTGTTCTATTTTTAAGGTGGTGAACAAATTCCAACTCATCATGATGTTTTATGGATGACTGGTTGTTGGCAGCATTGGCAGGGGCAAGTGATGCTCTCCGTTTTTTTTTTCTTTGTTGTTTTCAAAAAAGTGAAGCTCTGCTCTAATTGGAGGAAAAGGATGGACGAGGATTGTGATTTTAAAGCATTTGTTTGAGTCTGTTATGTGTATCCCAATGATATACTCCGTATTGTTTTTGTACGTAGTAGTATAATCCAAAAATCTACTTCCTGGATCCCATCCAAAATTCTAGAGTCCGTCTCACCAAATACGTAATTCTTTGTTTCGTACGCTGAATTGTGTAATAATAAGGACAAGTAAGGTTGTAGTTACTTTTCTGACTGTATTGGCTAAAGTTACTGTAAATGATCATTTTAGCTATTTTCATATAATCTTTTCCCTATTTTATTAATAAAATATATTATACGGAGTAATTTTTTTTTTCATAAATCAGTATAATCGGACAATACAACCACTTCAGTCACAACTTCATAAATATCAGTAGAATCAGCCGATTTCAATGGTACCAAACGGGTCCTACTCTCCCCATCCCAATATACAAAGTAGTGGTGGGCATAACGGTTTGGTTTAACCGAACCGAACCGTACCAAACCGAACTGAAACCGGACCGTATGCAATTTGGTTTGAGTTTGGTACTATTTCTTTCAAACCGTATTAAACCAAACCGAACCGAAACCAATAAAAACCGAACAAAACCGAACCGAACTAAAGAAACTCAAAAAAAACTTTCATATATTATTAAAATTGGTGGGTTGATTTGGTTTGGTTTGGGTTTATTTAAGTAAACCGTTTGGTAAACATTTGCTCAAACCGAATGATTTGGTACTTTGGTTTAATTATGGTTTAATATTCATATTCACACTTTTGTTTGACATTTTTTTACTCGATTCATAAAAATCCCAATTTGACCTAGCAATGCCTCAATCATTCGAAATGCAATCAGACTCTATCATAAACCCGATTTATAAAATTGATCAGAAATTACTTAATATGTAGATATAATATTAATATTCACACTTGTGTTTGACATTTTTTGACTCGATTCATAAAAACCCCAATTCGACCTAACAAAGCTTCAATCATCCGAAATGCAATCGGACTCTATCATGGACACGATTTATAAAATTGATCACAAGTTACTTAATATGTATATATAATATTAATATTCACACTTATGTTTGAATTTTTTTTACTCGATTCATAAAACCCCCCAATTCGACCTACACAAGGTCTCAATTATCCTAAATGCAATCAGACTCTGTCATGCACGCGTTTTATAAAATTGATCACAAGTTAATTAATATATAGATATAATATTAATAAAAACCCCGAATTCGACCTAGCAAGGCCTCAATCATCCGAAATGCAATCAGACTCAATCATGAACACAATTTATAAATTAGAACATGGTAGAGTATGAATCGAGTTTGGTCGAATTTGGGATTTGTATGAATCGAGTTAGAAAAAGTAATTTGTGATCAATTTTATAACTCGTAATTATGGTAGAGTCTGATTGCATTTCAGACGATATTTGAGGTTTTGTTTGGTCAAATTAGGGGTTTTTTATGAATCAAATCACAAAAATTTCGGATATTAAGTCACACAAGTGGTTTAGGCCTCAATCAAGTCACATTAATGTTCTGACTTATTGGACTCTAGTTCTTGTCTTACTACATAGTGTTATTTTTTGGCCAACAAATAAAACTCTTATCTAATGCAATTTGGAATAAACTTACAGATAATCGAGATTTATTAATCTTGGATCCCAAAGATAAAATTTATATATGCAAGGGAAAACTGTCAAATAGGTCCTCGAACTTTCATAAAAAGTCAATTAAGTTCTTCTATAGGAGACTCTGTCCGGTCGTCACGATTTGGGGCGGTTCTCGGTGGAATTTTTTGATGAATTTTTTTGAGCATCTTATTCATCAAGTCTAGTTTACTCATACCAAATTTCAGCTAAAAAATTAATCGGGAGCGCATTCAAATTAATTCGAGAACGCAAAAATGCGCAGTTATCTTCAAGAATTAATTTGAATGTGTTCCGATTGAATTTTTAGTTGAAATTTGGTGTGAGTAAACTAGACTTGGTGAATAAGATGCTCAAAAAATTTCATCAAAAAATTCCACCGGGAACTGCCCCAAATCGCGACGGCTAGACAGAATCTCCTATAGAAGGACTTAATTGACCTTTTTATGAAAGTTCGAGGACCTATTTGACAGTTTTCCTTATATGTAATGTTAGTGAAATTCTACCCACTCTACACTCTATTCTACCCATTTTGTACCAGATTCTACCTGCAATATAAAAAAAATTACTCCGTACAATTTTAAAAAAAAATTAGATCCATGTTGGTGATATTGTACTCATTCTACACCCTATTCTACCAATTTTACACTTGAATCTAGGGTCATCTAATACTTTTTTTAAAATTAAAGTCTTACTTTTATTATTATACATCTATTATTTTTTCATTTTTTATTTGAATACCTATGATTTGAAGAGTCAAACATTTTGGTGTAAAATAAATGAATTTGGAGTTTAATTTTGTTGTTGTTAACTAAAGACGTGTTCCAAAAAAGATATAATTAGATTGATAACTAAAACTTAAATTGTTTACAAAAATGTGATTAGTGACTAAAGTAATACTAAAATAATGTTAACTTATACTTCCTCCGTTCTCTAATACTTGACCCTCTTTCCATTTTGGGATGTTCTCTATTAGTTGTCTTTCTTTCCACTTTTGGTAAGTTTTTTCAATAAATATACTCATTTACCCTCATTCTCTTTCCTACTTTTTCCTTTACACACAACCCACTACACCTTTTATCCTACCCCTATTAATTCTATCTTAAATCTTGTGCCAAAGCCTATACTCCCATCTATTAGAGAACGGAGGGAGTATTTAATTTTGTTTTTTGTTTTTAAACTTAAGTTACTGACTATATTGTAGTAACTCTTAATTATATTTGTGTAAATTAGTTTTATTTTAGTAGTGCTTATGGAAAAACCTCTTAAAAATTAAAAGATGAAAAACAAAACAATTAGATATTACTCTAATTTTTAAGCCTTTGAATCTCCGTAGTATTTTAAAGAAATTGGATTGAAACCCTTTGCAATTAAAAACTCCATTCGACCCTCTAGACAAGTAGACATTTAATCTATTCAACCATCCTTGAAGGAGAGTAATCCTAAGAGGAAATGACATTTTATCCATTTTTGAATGGGCTGTTCCGTGTTGCGTGTGTGCAGGTAGTCAGAAATGTTAGCTATAATACCAAAAGAGATGTCACAAATGTTTACATCCCTGATGGTACTTTTGTAATGCATCCCTCGTGCTTTTTTTTTCTTCTCTTTTATTGGTTGAAAGCAAGTATAGGGATTGTGAAACTCCACTCCAATTGGTTAAAAAAAAAGACATGGATTGCACTTCTTGGTAAATTTTTCCAATCGTTACATGTGAGATTTCCATCCCAATCGTCCATTTCTTAAATCGACCCTCCCAATCTAAGAGTTTGTTTGATACCCATATTTCTCATTTAATCAGTCTTA